GGTCATGTATATGAATGCCAGGGTATGGGGGAACCACAGTCCGTCAGGGGTCATATACATGAATGTCAGTGTATGGGGGAACCACAGTCCATCAGGGGTCATTGCATGAATGTCAGGGTATGGGGAACCACAGTCCATCAGGGGTCATATACATGAATGTCAGTGTATGGGCTGTAGCAAGATTTCTTGTGTAAACTAGACCTGCCCAACAGTAGTGTAAGCCTCATATGTAATTCACTTTCCTAGTGGCCACATTAACAAAAGTGGAAAACAGAGACGATGGATTTTAATGATGTTCTTTACTTAGGCTGGTAAGATGGCTCAGCTGGTGAGGGCACTTGACGCCAAGCCTGATGACTGGTGTTTATCTTCTGACCTCCATAGGTTCGCTTTGGCATCTGTGTGCTCTTGCCTTGTGCACACATAAATAAATAAATGTAATAAAATTTAAAAAGGTTTTCATTGGAGGTAGCCGATTTCTCTCTAGATTTCATAAAAATTATAATTGAATAAGCAGATTCATATACACAATATCTGAAACATCAGCTTTAAAATGTAAAGTTACAGGGCTGGAGAGATGACTCAGCAGTTAAGAGCACTTGCTGCTCTTCCAGAGGACCTGGGCTAGCTTCCTAGAACGCACAAAGAGGCTCACAACGATCTGTAACTCCGGCTCTAAGGGATCTGATGCACTCTTCTGGCCTCTGTGGGCATCCCCACACATGAGGCATATACACATACATACAAAAATAAATCTTAAAAAATGAAAATTTAAAACAAAAATCAAGTAAAATCTAAATTAAATGAAATAGAGGTCTTCACTCTAGCCAAATTTGGAGTGCCCAGAGGCCACAGGTGGCTAGTGGCCACTACATTGGATTACTGGAATCTGAACGAGCGGAAGGAAAATTCACTGGGGCGTCTTCAGAGCTGAGAACAGTACTTGGCGTATAGCTTGACAATGTGTGTGTTTCATGAATGGATGAAGAAACCACCACCCACCTAGTTACTCTTGTGTAACTGCCACCAACCAGTTGGTACCATCGGAGGGAGGGCCTTGAGGCCTGGGCTGTTTCTCTAGGAAGTCAGAGTTGCCACGGGATTGAGCAGGCCAAGAAGGGGCCAAGGTTGTTAGCTCTCCGGAGGGTTTAGCTGTGAGAAGACTTAGAGGCAGGAAGAGCAGGGGTGCGTGAGGAATGACTGGGTGAAGGGAGGGGAGCAGGGTGCGTGTTGTGTGTAGGCTTCTGATCTCTGCTGAGAGCAGAGGGCGGCTGGAAGTATTTCAAGCTAACGCCCCTAGCCTGTGGTGCTAGATTTGAGGATTTTGTTGTCTGTTTTTTAAAGGGGCACACTGAGTGCTGTGTACCTAAAAGGATGTCTAAGAGCAAGAGTTGGTCTAGGGCAGGCACTTAGAGAGTACCAGGCAGGTAGACCTGGGTTGAGAAAGTAAAGCTGGCACACAGGGACGGGATGTGGACGGAGAGGGACCTTGAGGAGGGCTGGAGTCAGCTGCGGCTGCTCTGCCCGGCCCCAGGTTGCCAGGCGGCCCTATCCCACAGGTGCTGGACGGAGAGGTGTACCCACCATCCGTGGGACAGACGTCGGTGTTGATGCGCTACCCACCGGGCGTCCCGCTCGAGAATCAGATGGCTGTGGGCCAGGAGGTGTTTGGGTTGCTCCCAGGGCTGATGGTCATCTCCACGATCTGGTTGCGTGAGCACAACCGCGTGTGCGACTTGCTGAAAGAGGAGCACCCCACCTGGGATGACGAGCAACTCTTCCAGACCACTCGCCTCATCCTTATAGGTGAGCATGTCCGAGGAGCTGGGAGGCAGGCAGGTTAGGCCTCTGGTGTTACTGAACCTGGGGGAGTCACAGCCTGAGCCCCAAGCTGGGTTTGGTCACCCATACTCAGTAACCCAATTAAAAGTAAAACAAATTAATAGTAAAAAGCAGGAAAAAGAGGTTTAGTCAATGTGGTCACGCTGGTGAGAGGGACAGTCGCTGGTGGCTGAGACCTGAGGCGGGGGCCTCCAGGCTGTGGCTTCAGGTCCGGGATGTGTTGCTGGAAGGATTTGCAAAGCCGCTTAGTGGGAAGGCTCTGAGCACGTGAGACTGGCAATCTTGAATCCCAGCTTCCCCTTGTGCAGCCACCCAGTTTGGTGATCTCCAACACACCAGGATCAAAGCCCAGCTTACCTCACCCTCAGGAAACCCCAATTTCCCCTCTCAGTCTATCAGCCTTTGTGGAGTTTGGTAGATTCTAGGTGACTCAGGGACGAGATATTTTTGTGTCTCCTAAGTGGGGGTGAGTCTATTACCTAAAATGTCAGATGGCTTCCTGCCTAGGAGCTTGGACCCTGACACCTCTGTCCTGACCATACTCTGTGAGTCACCACCTCTGGCCATTACTGGGTATGGCTGGTCCCAATTACAGTGTTTAATTTACTGGCTTCTGGAAGAGTCAGGCTCTGGGGATAAGAACAGCCTGAGGATGGACAGGCTGAGTTTTCTTTGGAAGTCTGTATCTCACAGACCTTTACCAGAGAGGCCAGGTCTCTGGCTAGAGGTTGCCCAGCACCTTGGCTGGTGGAGGAACTGTGATCAAGGTTGAGACTCTAGCTGACCTGTGTTGACATGGCTGAGACTGACTGTCCTATGCTTCACGTGACCTGATACATGGTCACATGGAAATCACATGGGAATTCATAGAGCCTACAGTTTACCAGTGAGGAAAGTGAGCCTCGGGCTCAGATGCCTACATGTTAAGAAGCTAGGATGTGAACTCATGTATGCTAACCCCAAATCCTGTGGCTCCAGGTCAGTTTACTAAAAAGCCAGTTCATCTATTGACCGATTGGTCCAGATACCAGTTTCCTTCACTTATCCACTGGCCAGCTTTCCTACTGGTCTGGAATCTTCAGCCGACTTCTTTCCTGGCTGCTCCTGTTGTGTATAGCTGCTTCCCCAGGGATCAAGGACTATCTCTGCCCACGAGATTCTAACATACAGAACAACACAGGAGAAACAAAGCACATTTAGACAAACCCAGGGCCACCCCCCCAGCTGTGGGGCTGCAGCAGCTGTCAGATGGAGTCTCTGAAGCCCTCCCCCCGCACTAAGGGTTTCAGTGAAATGACATTCCTCACTAACATAGCACTGTATTTTTATACTTTTCAGAGTTTCTCAGCTTAAAAAAATTTTTTAGAGACAACCTTTTTCTGAGCAGGCCATCCTGGCATCCACATTGCCACGCTCCTACCTTGGCCCCACAAGGTCTGGGTTTATAAACCTGTGGCTTGTGTCACCATTCATGACTTCCCCAGACCTTGTTTGTCATGGTCTGTAGGAGAAAGGTTACATCGAGGTTGTGAAAATAGTTTTTTTTTTTTAATTTATTCTATGTATTTTGGTGTTTTTGTCTTCATGTATATCTGTGCACCATGTACATGCCTGGTACCCGAGGAGGCCAGAAAAGGGCATCAGACTCCTGGAACTGGGGTCACAGATAGTTGTGAGTCACCATGTTGGTGCTGGGAGTTGAACCTGGGTGCCCTGGAAGAGCAGTCAGTGCTCTTCACCTCTTTCCATCTCTCTCTAGCCCCTGGAAACCGGGTTTTGATTACTGCCTTACTGGGTCCAGGACCTCCCTCTAGGGCAGCAATGTCCTTGTCTGCGTATCTCAGTCAAATCTGAGACAGTCTGTTTTCACATCCTCTTACAAGGACAGAAAGCAGAAGTGACCAAGGGGAATGAATGAACACCGCCAGCAGCGAGGAGACAAAAGCAAGCACTTCTCATGAGCTGTCCCGTTTCCCACGCGCTGAGCTCTGCTGACCCCATTTCCCATCTTCCCTACAGGGGAAACCATCAAAATTGTCATTGAGGAGTATGTGCAGCATTTGAGTGGCTACTTCCTGCAGCTCAAGTTTGACCCAGAACTGCTGTTCCGAGCTCAGTTCCAGTACCAAAATCGCATCGCCGTGGAGTTCAACCATCTCTATCACTGGCACCCACTCATGCCCGACTCCTTCAAAGTGGGCACGCAAGAGTACAGCTATGAGCAGTTCTTGTTCAACACCTCCATGCTGGTGGACTATGGCATTGAGGCACTGGTGGATGCCTTCTCTCGCCAGAGGGCTGGCCAGGTAAGCTTCAGAGAAACAGAGTCATCAGGGGCGGGCTCTGGGATCCGATAGACTTGGTCTAAAACCCAGCTTCCTCATCTGTGGAATGAGCATGGTGTTACTTCTACAGGTGGTTATAAAGATCTCTTTATGAATTCTCTCATGCAGGTGACAGTACCAGGGTTTATTAGTTACTTTCATGTTACTATGTCTCAAATACCTGACAGAAACAACGCAAGGGAGGAAGAATTATTTTGGCTCACAGTGTCCCAGCGAGGAAAGCCGTGACAGAGTGACCATGTCTGTGGTAGCAGGAGCTCAAGGCAAAGGATGTTCACATCATAGCAGACCAGGAAATCATGAGACAGGAACCAGGGTCTGAGCTGTAACCTTCAAAGGCTGGTTGCTGGTGACCCATTTTCTTCAGTTTGGCTATACCTTCTAAAGGTTCTGCAGCGCCCCCAATAGTGCCACCATTTGGGGAGTAAGTGTTTAAAATACAAACCTATGGAGTGCATTCCAGGTTCAGACCACAGCACAGGCATTACTCCAGATGAACAAGATTGACATGGTTCTTGGACCCTGTCCCTTTGGCACCGACACCATAAAAGGGAAACAGTCCAGTGACAGCATCACTCGGGTACTTGCTGTGTATGAGGGACCATGACAGGTACTGCTGCTGTCCTCAGAATGATAAGAACATGTTGAGGACCACAGTGCAGAAAGCCACGTTTCTCTGTCAACTCTGTGACCCAGACCTGGGTGTTAGTGTGCCGGCAAAGCAGAGATGCTAAAATTGGGCAGGCATTTTCCCTGGAGGAGTGGTGATGGCAAAGGGTGTGATTGTGTTCCAGATGGGGAGGACGGCATGCACAAAGGCCTGAGGGTTAGAGGGCCGGAAGTCTGAGGGACAGAAGAACCCTATTAGGATATGGTAATATACATGACAGTGCCTGTATGAAGAAATGCTTTTTGAATTCTATATTTCCTGTCCTCTGAACTATGTCTTTCCCCAAATTAATATGCTATAATCCTAACCCTCAAGACCTCAGAATAACATGTGGAGATAATGTCTTTAAAGAGACAATTGAGACTAACCAGGAAATTGGGGTGGGCCCTAACCCAATGTGATTGGTGTTCCTATAAAACAAGGAGATTAAAACAGACTCACCCAGAAGGAAAGTCACATGCAGACACAGGGAGGAAGTGGCTATCTATAAGCCACAGAGGCCAGCTTCAGAAGAGACCAAGCATCAGACACACTCACCTCCACACTGAGAATAAGCTTCTGTTAATTGAGACACCTATGTGTGGCGCTGGCAGATGAATGCGTCCCCTTGGAAGCCAGCTCCTCTGAAATCCTTCCTTCCCTACAGTTGGAAGCTCCCTTTCCCCCACCCCAGCTCTCTGGACTGTCATTCTTGTCTTGAGCCCTTTGCTTCTCGGTCATCAGTCATCATTGTCCCTCAGCCCTGTTAGGAAGCTGTGACACTTTGTGGATTTACATTTCCTCCTGGTAATTTGACTGCAGTTAGCATTTGCTGCCGCCTGTGTATGCTGGCAGGCTGGCGCCCCTGCTCTCTGTGGGGACACGGGTGTGAGAAGGGGTAGTAGCCTTGTGTGGGGCTGGATGGCTGTGAAGTGTGTGAGAGGTCTGGGTTTGAACTGGCAGAGGACAGCAGGCGTTGACTCTCAGGGTATAGAAGAGGGGCAGAGGCATGGCAGATCTGGCCTTTCTCTAATCATCAGCATGATGGCTACTGTCTGATGTTGCCATGTGACCGGCACTGTGACAACCTCTGTGCGTCTTTCATTCTTCATTCCCTTTATTTTACCACAACATATCGGGAGGATGCTCCCACACTCCCCATGCTTGCACATGAGGAAACTGTGTTTGTGTGCCAGGGTTTTCCAACAAAAAGTGGGTGGCTTGAGATAACAGAGACACGTCCCTCACTGTTAGGTGGCAGCAGGGCCACTCTCTCTGTGGGCTCTCGAGAGGAATCTGTCCTGTGCCTTTCTCACTAGGCTCCCACAATCCCTGGTTATTTCTTGGCTTGTAGAAGTGTCACTCAACTGTCTGCTCCATCACCTTGCCACACGGTGTCTTCTTCGTGTCTCCAGTCTCATTTAAGAGCGACCACGGGGCTGGGCACAGAGGCGCACTCCTGTAATCCCAGCACTCTGGAGGTGGAGGTAGGAGCACCAGGAGTTCAAGGTCACTCTAGCTCTGTGGCGAGTTCTAGGCTAGCCTGGGTTGCATGAGACCCTGTTGCAAAAACTTGAACACAAACAAACAAGGCATCACCTCTTGGATTAGGATTTTACCTAATCAAGTATGACTTTATTTCCGTCTGTGCCAGGGAATACTATATAGTTCTCATATCCATAGGAAATACATCCAAAGACTTCCCCTGAAATGGAGTATTGAACCATATACATGCTTTTTCCCTATACATACAAAGTATGGTGAAGTTTAACTTATAAACTAGGAACAGTAAGAGACATAATGATAATAGAAAATTGAATATGTATATCATGTTTCTGTAATAAAAGCGTATAAGATTGTCTTCCTCAGTGGTGTCCAGTCCTCATCCCTCTTGGGGTAATGTGAGTTGATATTGTGTCAGTGTGAGGAATGGGGTGAGATGAATGACCCAGGTATAGGATGCTTGGTTTACTGCGTAGGGGTTACCTGGGCATGGCACACAGATACCATGTAACTGACAGATGCCAGGTGATTGACAAGCCAGGGGGCTTGTGTAGTATGGACATGCTGGACACAGGGATGATTCATATCCTGGGCAGGACTGAGAGAGTCCTCATCAGATTTCATCATGCTGCTCAGAATAGCATGCAATTTAAAACTTAGGAAGTGTTTCTTTCTGGAATTTTCCGTTAAGTATTATCAGATTGTAGTTGCCTGTGGGTGATGGGAAGTGTGTAAAGCTAAGCCACCGACAAGATGAGACTATTACATCTTCAGCTAAGGTCACATTTGTGGGTGCTGCAGGTTAGACGTCAGTGCATCTTTGGGGTACACAGTTCCAGCCACACAGCTTGTCATGGGTAGAGCTGGGGTTGGAGCCACTCTCTGTTTGCTGTCCCAAGTTTGTTTTGCTCTGAGCCGTATGATTTCAATCCAACTGTTTTTCTTTCTGCTCAGTCATAGTTGTTCTATCAAAACAGATCTCAGAAGCAGAGCTTCCTTTAAACTGACTCTCCTTAACTATTATGACTTTTTGTGGGGTCTTGTGTGTGTGTGTGTGTGTGTGTGTCTGTGTGTGTGTCTGTGTGTCTGTGTGGCAGAGGTCAACTGTGGGTGTGACTCCTCAGGAGCTGTCCACCTGAACTTTCAGACAGGATCTCTTACTTGGCCTGGAGCTTGCCAAGTGAGCTAGGCCGTCCGTCCAAGTCCTGGGCATCTGGAGTCCTTCTTTTTCATCTGGACTTTTTCTCTCTTTCAATAAAAATGACACCACCTGTTGGTGTGACTCCAAGGAGTTCCAGTCACTAGAGAGTGGAGCGATGCACACTTCCGTGTTGTGGAGGCAGGGGAACTGTAGACTTCAGAATAGAATGACAGGGCCGAACTAGAGCCAAGCCACAGTGTCACAACATTCTCTGTCCTGGTGTGGAAAGAACGAGAGCCGCGGAGTTCTTCTTTTAGGACCTTACACAGGACGGTCTGGTTCTTAGGCTGACAGCTGCGCTAATCTCTTGGCAGATTGGTGGGGGTAGGAACTTTAACCACCACGTTCTGCATGTGGCCGTGGATGTCATCAAGGAGTCCCGAGAGCTGCGCATACAGCCCTTCAATGAATACCGAAAGAGGTTTGGCATGAAGCCCTACACCTCTTTCCAGGAGCTCACAGGTAGGCAGCTGCTTCCTGGACACAGTCTCTCCCCTCAAGGTCTGCACAGAAAGTGAGGGAGGTCACAAAGCCAGACACTGGGACAACACTGGCCAGCACTGTGACCGGGCACTGTAAGGGAAAGCAGTGGATGTGACGGTAGCCTGCTTTGGGAGAGACGGTGGCCTTCCCAGTGGACATGAGGGACAGATAGGAACTTCCCAGGTTGAAGACAGAGGGAGGGGGACTTCAGGTGTGGAAGCGGGAGAACAAAGGCACAGAGCTGTGGAAAGCAGCTACCCGTCTGGGAGTTCAGTCACAGATGTGACTGGAGTGAGTCTTGGGAGATGCCTTGGGTGAAGGGGGTTCACACCGAACTAGGATCTGCTGAAGACTTGGGTTTTATTCTGTCTAGTGGCTCCTAGATACTTACTTAGAAGGTTGATAAAAAGTGTCTAGTTGGGGATGTGGTTCAGTGGTTGAGAACTTGCCCAGCATAGATGAAGCCCTTGACTTAACCCCCTTAACATAGCAAAATAACACACACACACACACACACACACACACACACACACACACACACACACACACACCACACCCCATCCCCAAGTCCCAAATGCTTTCTTGGAGATCATGATTCAACCAGTTTTCATGGTGCTCAAGAATCTGCATCCATGGGGCTGGAGAAAAGGCTCAGCAGTTAAGAGTGCGTGTTGCTCTTGCAGAGGACCCAAGTTCGAGTCTCAGCACCCATCTTAGGCAGCTCACAAACTTCCTGTAACTCCAGCTCCAGGTGATCTGATTCCTCTGGCTGCCATAGGCAATACACATATAGTTAAAAATAAAATAGATCTTAAAAGATCTCATTCGCACTCCCTCCATCCTCTATTTCCCCCCAGTTCCCCACATGTTGGGCAGTCAAATTGGATCTCTCTTGTTACCACTGGTGTGACAGACCCCTGTACCCCATAGAGGGATAGGTTTGAAGAAATGGATGGGCAAGTCCTATGTCTGTCTCTCTTTGGTCACCATCTGTGAACATGCAGTTGTCATAGTGGACAGATCCTGAGATAGGTAGATGAGTTCCCCATGATCCTGGGACAGTAATCTTGATGACTCTCTAGTCTCTCAGGACAAAGGGTTCCAAGAAGCAGAGAGTAGACTGGCCTGGCATATCCATCTGAACCTGAACACACACACACTTGACTCTAGGTTATTACAGGGCTTTGGCAGAGGCAAGGCCTTCAAATCTTTCTTGAGGGGGATGAAGACAGGCTGTTCTCTCCATGTTGTGATGGCCCAAGAATTAAGTTCAGAGACTAGGGTGAGTTGCTGGAGGTGAGCTGTTTGAGGACAGACCTAGACCACTAGACTCTTGTCACCACAGAGTCCAAGTTAAAGTGCCCATCTGTTCTTTCTTTCCTAACTATTCCCTGATACCAGCAGGGCCAGATTTTAGGACATTTCCCCTGTTGCCCAAATTGTTCTCCTAGAGTCTCCATCATCCCTAGAGAAAAACTGAATCTATAAGTTTCCATCCCCAGGTTGACCTTAACAAAGCTGTAACTCTGACTGTAGCTTCTCACTTTGCAGGAGAGAAGGAGATGGCCGCTGAGTTGGAAGAGTTATATGGTGACATCGATGCTTTAGAGTTCTACCCGGGGCTACTTCTGGAAAAGTGTCAGCCCAACTCCATCTTTGGGGAGAGTATGATAGAGATTGGGGCTCCCTTTTCCCTCAAGGGTCTCCTAGGAAATCCCATTTGTTCTCCAGAGTATTGGAAGCCCAGCACATTTGGGGGTGATGTGGGTTTCAACCTTGTCAACACAGCCTCACTGAAGAAACTGATCTGCCTCAACACCAAGACCTGCCCCTATGTTTCCTTCCACGTGCCAGACTCACCCGGAGATGGTGGGCCTATTGTAGAGAGACCGTCCTCTGAGCTCTGAGGGGGCAGGGAGGCAGCTTTTTGGAGGGGAGAGCTTTGCGTTTGTCTTTCTAGGATGCTCTGAGGCTGAGGTAGATAGAATGTCTGTTTCCTGCCTTGGCATTGTGAGAATTGACACTGACATTTAGAACTTTGGATCTTACCCTTGCCTAGAGTATTGTGATTTTGCCATTCTAGGATGCTGAATTCTTTGTTAACCCTTAAAAATATTAGGAGTGGATTTTATCTGGCTTGTCAGAAGTTGGCTCCTTGTTGGCAACCCAGAAGGAAGGTCTGAGTTCTGGTTGATTTAGAATATAGACTTAAAACTTTATATTATAGGGCATAGTGTGGTAACACACACCTTAATCCCAGTACTTGGGAGGCAGAGGCAGCTGAATCACTGTGAGTTTGAGGACAGTCTGTTCTACATAGTTGGTCACACAGTGAGGCCCTGTCTTCAAACAAACAAACAAACAAACAAACAAACAAACAAACAAACAAACAATTTTAGAATGTAGAGCTCCTAAGAAATTCCTCGAAAGTTACAGGGGTTCTTAATTTTCTTTCTAGAATCTGGGGACCCCTCCAGAATGTTGACTATCTGATTGGTGACTCAGAAGGTCATGTTCCTGGTCAATGATCCATAACATGGGCCAGATCAGTCCATACATGAATGTCTAGAATGTGGAATTGGTTAATTTTCCTGTTCAGTGAAATGGACACAGAACAAAAGAACTCAATGTCCAACAAGGACTGCCTTGCCCATGTCTGTTTCTATACCGAAGGGCAAGGAAGTCAGATGTTGTTCTTGGGAGTCACACTTAGACCCTTTCCAAAGATGTGGAGGGAACAGGTGGGAATCCACCTCAGCTCTGTCCCCATCTAGGTCTTTGCTCCTGGCAGCTGTTTCTCATGAAGCTAATAAAATTATCTTTCCAAAGTTGCCTGTTACGTATCTCTTTAAGTCCCATCTGCAAGTGAGCACTCATGAGGCTTTCCTCCTAACCACGGGACAGGTGTGCCCGAGGTCAACGGGACTTCCCAAGGGCATCCCTGGAGTCAATCCTGGCATGCATGTCTTCCCTTTGATGCTTCATCTCTTCTTTGGGGTATGGTCTGCCTTTGTCAGTCTGTTCATCTAGAATACCTAACTCCTAAGCCCTGGAGATGTAGCATCCAGTTCCTGCTAGCCGATTAAAATGGCCTTCTCTTACAGAGGAGGCAGGCGAAACCAGGGATACCCGAGAAGAAGAGCACACTACTCTGTGCCAACTTTTCACACTTAATTCTCATTTATTGACATTGGGACAGAATGTCCAGGTGACATGCCAGTCCCACAGGACCCAGAACCAGGCTTGGAAGCCAGTGCCGCTCCCTCCTGTTTGGCTCTTTGCCAGCTCTGATGTTGCCTCTGGCCTGAGGTTGACATGAGAGGCCCGGGGGTAGCTTCCCTTTATGTGCTGGCTGCTTGTCATGCCCAGTGCTCCTTCTCTCATGCTGCCTGTGCACTGGGTTCTTTGATGGGGACACGCCTGCGAGTGGTCAGTACCGATGTGGCTTCTGCTCTTCAGAGCTCACATTTAACAGAGCACAGTGGAGACCCGGCAGTAGGTGCCCTTTCTCTCTACTCCTGGCCTCGTTCTCTTTACCTTGCCACGTAGGTTCTGTGGCCAAGGAGGGAGGCAAGGACAGACAGTCAAGGAGGGAGGCAAAGACAGACAGCTGAGGTGAGAGATCAAGAAAAGCCTTGTGTTCCATTCTTTGGACCTAGAGCACTTCCAGAACTGTGGCTGTGAAATGAGATGGATCAGGGTTTGGCTGGAGGTTTTTTTTCAGGGCTGGGTCTTGTAGTTCAGAAAGCCTGTTCCTAGCTGTCCAGTTTGGGGCCACTGTTACCATTTACCCTGGCCCTGCTGGACACAAAGAATGTGACCCCTGGCATCCCACCTCCCAACTCTTTCTAACACATAAGGATCCTCTGGGGGCCAGACATGGCCAGAGCACGTGTGTTGTTCTTGCTTACCCAATATCTGTTTTCTCCTTTCAATACCTGATTGTTTGCCCATTTCTGGACCTTTCTTATTACTGTCAGTCTTTTAAAAACTTAATTACTAGAGAGATGGTTCAGTGGTTAACAACACTCACTGCTTCTGCAGAGGACCCAGGTTCAATTCCCAGTACCTACATGAAGACTGGTAGCCATCTATAACTCCAGTTCCAGAGGTTCTGACGTCCTCTTCTGGCCTTTGCAGGCTCTGCATGCATGTGGGAAATAGACATACATACAGGCAAAACACTGTTACAATAAGACAATAAAAATAAAAAAACTTAATTAAAATATAATACCTCATTTCCTCTTCCCTCTCTTCCTTCCAGCCCCTCCCATGTCACATATGCCCACCCCTCAAATTCATGGCCTCTTTCTCTTTAACTATTATTGTTATACACACACACACACACACACACACACACACACACACACACACACACGGATAAATATACAGATAAAACCTGCTGAGTCAATTTAGTGATATATATATATATATATATATATGTATATGTATATGTATGTATACACACATATTCTTTTAGGGCTGACCATTTGATATCGATAGCCATTTAGAGGGCTCATTCCTGGGGAAGACTAATTCTGCCTCTCTCAGCAGTCATTCATTGCCTCCATCCACACTGGCATGCCATTTCTGTCTCTTTCTTATTAACAACTCCTAGCTTTCTCTATCTCTGTCTTTGTCTCTCTCTGTCTCTTTCTCCTCCGTCCCTCCCTCTGTCCCTCCCTCTGTCCCTCCCTCTGTCCCTCCCTCTGTCCCTCCCTCTGTCCCTCCCTCCCTCCCTCCCTCCCTCCCAGGGCTTTATAATGTAGCCCTGGATGGTCTGGAACTAGCTATGTAGATTAGACTGGCCTTGAACTCATAGAGCTCTGCTTGCTTCTGCCTCCCAAGTGTGTTATGCTCCTGCCTTAATATTAGTTTTAACAATTATATCAGGAGCGTATTCCAGCCAAAGGCAGCGATATGAATCTATGCTAGGCAGGCAGACAGCCTGACCTTTATGGTTGGCCCTAGGAGTGTGTTCCGTGCAGACTGAGATGGTGACTGATTCATCCCTGAAGCTAAGGCTGAATTCTCAGAAGACTGTTGGCTCCTGCTTTGATGATCCAGGGGCAGTTGTGTTTCCCAATCTTCTCAAGACTTCAGCTTTTAAGCTGAGTGTAGTGGCACACGCCTTTAATTCTAGCACTGGGGAGGCAGAGGCAGGCAGATCTCTGAGTTCGAGGCCAGTCTGGTCTACAGAGTGAGTTCCAGGACAGTCACAACCTTGTAGAGAGACCTTGTCTCAAAAATGACTTCAGCTTTTCCTCCACACTGTGGCTTGTTTCAGGAGTTTATCTTTTGCTTTTAACAACTGTGATGGCTGTGAAGTGTAGAAGAGCTAACACAGGTCTGCAATGGGGAGACCTTTGGTTGGGGAGGCACAGTCTGATCACTGCTTTGGAAATAGTCTCTGGTGGATTGGGCAGAAGAGTGGATCAGAAGGACTTTGTAGTTACAGTCTAACAAAGAGGTAGTGGCAGCTAGATTGGGCCCTGATGGGGTGGGCTGCAGGGCATTGATCTCTTGGGGCAGCTGCCTTGACTTGCTTAGTATTCAACTCTGCATACGTTTGAAACAGTTCACACTTATTTATTGTATGCACAAGTGTGCATCCACACTTGTGGGAGTCAGTTGACTCTTCTCGTTACGTCAACCCACCAGGCATTGTCAAGTAGTTAGGCTTGGAGCCTGAGCCATTTCTCTGGCCTGGATAGAAGTTTTCTCAAGCTAAACTTGTTGGTTTAAACAAGAAGTCTCAATCAAAGTGAAAGATCACACACTGGCACTCCTCCTGGGGTTTGTGGGTGGCTGGGCTGCAGGGACCTCGAGTCTAGGTTGTGAAGATAGTTCGTAGATGCAGCTTGTATCTAGAACCAGCTGTTTTAACAAGGATTACTCTTGGTGATGCAGGTGGGCCTGTCCTAGTCAGTTGTAAGGCCTTGAGAACAAGAACTGAATTCTGAAAAACAAAACAAAACAAACAAAAAAAGTGCTTGCTTCATGGCCTGCAAGCACCATCTCTGTGAGTCTCGCTCCTGCGTCTAGATCTCAAGCCAGCCAATGCCCACAACTGTGTGAACCAACCTCCCCACACAAAGACTTTCCCTGTGTGTGTATGATGTACCATTGTACCTGGTTGTGTTTGCTTCCCTGGAGGAAGGCTGTTTTACTGTCAGTACAAACAACAGAAGCCATGCTAGCCTTTCAGAAAAGGAAAGGATGTAATATAGGCTTGCATAGCTCACACCAACATCGCCAGTACCGGAACCAGGCTTGGGAGCTTCTTGCCTAAGAACAGTGGCAACTGGCCTGGAGGATGCAGGCATCTCAAGTCCATCCATGTTGCCAAACCATTACTGCTAGGGTCCCGAGAGCTGGCAGTTGTTATCATTAGTCTTGTTAGAAAATGGATTCCATGTGGTGCCTGCACCTCACTTCCTCTGTTATGGTCATGTTTATTTCATATTTGATTGCTGGAGACTAGCTTATCTGTCTGTATTCCAGCTCCAAGAGAGGGCAAGGAGGTGAATCTTCTGGCCGGCTTGGGTTGTGGAGAGAAGGGACTCATCATGTGAGAAATCTCCTGTGATGAAAAAAGTATCCGAAGGGCTGGAAATCTGCCCAGCTTTTTGCCTCTCTTTGCAGCCTTAGAACACCGAAGAGGCCACCAGAAGGTACCACAGTGACTGGACAGAAGGCTGTAAGCAGAAGGCTGGGAAGGGCTTGTAGCCCATCGTCTAATCAAGCTCATGGAAAGTGTCAACATATTAGACGTGCTCACTTTCCTACTCAACCACAGTCTTCCGATAAAATGAGATTCAACTAAAACAGCTTCTGTGAGTGGCCGTAAGAAAAACCACGACTGGGGACAGGGAGGGGCTTAGTGGGTAAAATCCTGGTGACCCGAGTTCAGTTGTTCAGAATCCATGTGAAAAGGCAGAGCGTACATGACAGAATCCTGGCACTCCTGGGAGTGGAGACAAGAGACCCCGGCCCCACCCCAGAAGCTCAAGGGCAGGCTCACTTGGAGTATCTGTGTAGCAGTGGCTAACGAGAGACCTTGCCTCAAAAACAAGGGGAAAGGTGAGGATAGACCCATGCAGTTGTCCAATAACCTCCACACACACACTGTGGTATGTGAGTGCTCTCACACAATCATACACACACACACTGTGGTATGTGAGTGCTCTCACACAAGCACACACACACATACACACACACACACACACACACACACACACACACACACACACACACATCTATATATTTAAACCCTGTTAGTGTGTGCAGGTGTGTGCATGCTAAGGTCATGTGGAGGTCAGAGGACAACTTTCAGGAGCTGATTTTCTCCTTCCATCATGGGACTTGGGGATGGGACACAGGTCACTGCATTCTCAGTGAGCCTGTACTTACTGAGCCATCTCACCAGTCAGAAGCAACATTAATAAAGAAGAAAAATCAAATTGCTTTTAGTCTCGGGGATGGAGGAGGCAGTTCCTCTCTACTCTCTCACTACACACTCTTCTAGTTTTATTTAAAGTTGATTCCACCCCCAGGCTCGGTTACGTATTTCTTTGGCGCTCCATCTCTATGCTTTTGGTTAAACATATGTGTGAGTCATTTGCACAGCTGAAGGCTTAGGGCGACCTGGTCGTACGACCTTGCAGATCTCCATGTCTGGTCCCTGCTTCGCACCCCTCTATAACTTATCATACACTGAGCCTGCATACACACATCACCAAGGACATCAAGATGTAGCACATTTTCAGAATTCCAGAGGTCTCTTTTGTGCTCCTCTGTGGTCAGGAACATCAAAGCTAACTGCTATTGTGACTCCTATGGTCAGGTCAGTTTTGACTACTTATAAACTTCACTTGAATATTGTCACGTGGTGTGTTCTTTTAGTGTGTGTCTGGCTTCTTTTTTTTTAATCAAGGGTATCTCTTTGGCTGTGTAAATATTTAATGTGTATGTATGTAGTTACCTGTTGATGGCCATTTATGCTGTTTCCATCCCAGGATTGTTATGAATAAAGCCATGAATTTTAAATGTTACTGTTTATACTCACTTACCATGTAAGATGGGTCCTTCCTTTATTCAATATCCACTTCCATGTCTCTCTTGCTCTGGGGGCTGGTGGAAAGAGAAAATGGATCCCTGGAGGGGAAAGAGTTTGTTTATCGGGAGTCTGCCCTGTGGTGAAGCGTCACTGCCTGACATGGGGACCCTTCCTGGCAGCACCATGAGCAAGGCTTTTCTGTTTCATGGGGACTAAATTAAGGTTTGGAAAATTCAAACAACTTGGGGCTGGGGTTCCATGATTAAGGTGCTTGCCATACAAGGGTTAGAACCTGAGTATGGGTCCCCAGAACCCATATAAAGCTAGACATACCCATAATTCCACAAGTCTGTGGTGGGATGAGGTGGAGGTGTAGACAGAAGAAGAACCTGTAGACACTCTCAGGTGGATGAGCTTGATGTGCTGAACAACAAGAACCCCGTTTCAAACAAGGTGGAGGGTGAGGACCACCCCTGAGGTTGTCCTTTGACCTCTACAGGTGCATCACCAGACAGATGACCCTACTCATACACAGGAGCATGAACCCACACACCAAAAAAGAAGAAGAAAAAACAGACAACTTGTTCAAAGTCAGATGTCTCTGGAGTGGCAAGGTTGGTGGTGGTCTGATGGGTGGTAGTTACGTTCCCAAACGTGGGTTGCCTCGCCTGAGCCTCACTCAGGTCATCCAGGAGGCGAATCACAGTGGGTAGTGGGAGAATAGATGGAGCTGGGTGTGACAGGCTTTGGAAGTGTTAGCTCCCTTCAGGCGAGTCTGTGGCAGGCCTCATGGAGCGCATATCATGCTGGCCTGCGGTTGTGCTTCCCTCGGTGGGTGGGTGACATTTCTTTCCTCTCCCATGACTCATTTCTTCCAGGCCCTGCTATCTCCTTCCACATCTGTGACTTGCACTCTGTGCACCACGATGACCATGACGAAGTTCACTGAGCACAGCTGGGTTCCCTGGAGTCTGGAAAGTGATGCCATTTGCTTCCTCTGCTCTGCCCTCCATTCCCTGTGGCACCCCGTGACACCCACTGACCCAGGCTCTGCCTTCCCACTGCGCTGCACTCAGGTGTCCACTTTTGTCTTGCTTCTCAGTTCTTGCTCTCATGGGAGGAATTTCCGGCTGGTCCTAGCTTCCTCCTCCTCCATTTCCTCACCCCATGGGGTGTAAATGCAGATATGGTAGTTGTTCATCTTTTATTGTGGTAAAATACACGTAATATAAACTGTTTAATCTTGTTTTTGAGGTGTGAGGATCAAACTCAGGGCCTCATGCATGTTAGACAAATACTCTATCCCTGAACCATATCCTCCCCCTCCCCCATTTAAATCACTTTGCAGTGTGTAATGGTGTGCCATTCAGGACATTAACAATATTGTGCAATAATCACTAATATCTAGCCCCAGAACATTTTTATCATTCCACAAGGAAGCCAGTATCTAGTAAGCAGTCCCCCCGGGCCCCCCCCCCCTCCCCCGACTCCCTCTCCCTCCAGCCCCTGGTGACTATTAATCGTTTTGCTCGACTGTGCTCTGAGCACTCCCTGCATGCCAGGCATTGTGCTAACCTCGCTGTACACACACTGTACGGTTTGGCCAGGTGGCTCCAGGAGACGGGGTTCTTCCACTCACAGGTGAAATAAATGGGGCCCAGAGAGAAAAGACATCTGTGAAGTCACAACGCCTGTAACTGGCAGACCCTGGACTGGAACTCCAAACCCAGTGCCATTTCCACCCTGTGTTAAGTGATGGCCAAGCCCTGAGACCTTTTCCAGGATAAACATAAATGACGTAGGTCTGGCTGACTTCAAAGCCCACATTACTCCATTATGAAAGAATATTCCTTCCATTCCACCCCAAAGGTCAAGTAGGAACAAAAAAGATGGAACACAGATTCAAATGACTTATGCCCTAGGAATTTTCCAGAATCTGGGATACTGAGTTGAGGGACGCAGTTTGCTGCCACAATCCCAGATAATGGGACCTAAAATGCTGTCAGTTGCATTTGCAAATTGTAGGATGATGCTCAAGGCAGCCAGGTAAGAAACAGAGGGAATCCTTGTATGCTACTGACTGAGAGACCTCAGGAGAGAGAGGGCCTAGCTGGGGCCAGGCGTCTCGTGTGCATTGAAAATTCTCTGTTCAAGAATTTGGGCTTCTGGTTGCCACGACCATGAAGGCTTCCAATATGGTCAGAGAAATGAAAGAGCCACTGCAAATAAACAAAATTAAATTGAGGAAGAAAGACAGACAAACAGACAGACAGAGAAAAAGAGAACACGGAAATATTTATTTAACAGAAATGTGGTTGTGATGTAATCAAGGCAGGCTTTTTTCCCTGACTTCCTGATACTAAGGCAAATCTCTTTTGGATGCTCCATCCTTCATCCTTCACCAAGCATATTAAAATGTACCAGTGTATCAATTTAGCATTATTTACATATGATAATTTATATGTGTATATTCTACATATATACATATATATAAAATTTATGCATGTAAGGCTGTTTGTAGAAGATTTACATTCTATTTCTTTTTTTAATTTCTTTTTTTCTTTTATTTATTTTATTTTACAATACTATTCAGTTCTACATAACAGCCACAGATTCCCTTGTTCTCCCCCTTCCTGCCCCCCCCTTTCCCCCAGCCCACCCCCCATTCCCACCACCTCCAGATCAAGGCCACCCCCGAGGACTGAGATCGACC